CTACAAATCCCATGACAACTGCTGCCCTGAACTCAAAACATGCAGCGTCACGCTGGGAGACGACGTTTCCTCTCAGTGCTTCAGTCTGTTCTTATTAATGTTCTGACATTTCTCACAACAAAACATTTTCACAGAGCCCCTGCTTTAATCAGAATTCATGGCTTGGCAGACAATTTTTGTTAATCCCGATAGTCTAATCCAAACATGCAAATGAAATCTGGAGAATAAAATTAAATTTACTTATAGGATGGTGGATAGTGTGGTGCGATTACGCTATATACTGCGATATTTTTTTTCCTTTGTTTATATGTGTCAAAATGACATGCTTCAAAAAATCCTCATATGGAAAATATATTGCTGCAGAATAAAGACGTCCAAAAAGGTTAGAATGCTCCTCCTCCTCCCGCTACATTCCATTCTGTTGTTCCAATGTCAGCGCGGGTGCACATGTGACATCATGTGTTATCGCGGTAGAGCCAAAAACTTATCATTACCCAATTTTATATTGTTTCTACCTTATATTGTTTATATTGCCCACCCCTATGTGACGGTACAATATTCAAATAAATTACGGTAATACATGATACATAACATCTTACAGTGCAAGCACCTCAGCGTATTTCCAGCTACATTAACCAACCTAACACACCGCAGAATGAACATCTCCATTCCATACAACCAGTTTAAATAAATTATTTACTTTTTGATGGAACGGGCAGCAATGTCTACTGGTTGCCCTCCTTTGACCGCAATCGCTTCCTCTACTGCCCCTCAAAATTGTAGGAGAACTTGACCCAAATAGCCTCCACTCTTTGTGAAAGTGAAGTTTCCATGGAAACCGAACACATCACCATGGCAACACAGAACAGCTTAAAAAAATTACTGTTATGTAAGAAGAGCTGTAGGCTGACATCACGCTGCAAGTGTCAGAACAATGCAAATGTCTTTAAATAAATGTGTTAGGAGCCTTTTTATGTTCAAATCAGAGCATGTCAGAGATGAAAGGTGAGGACTTAATGGATAATTTAAGTGAGAAAAACTAGAAATTAGGGCAAAAAAAATCTTTAGCTTCTACAAAGTAAAGTGGTCAAATGGATTTGATTCTGCAAACCACACGAACCAGTGTTTTCATGTCTTTGGTGTAAACTGGAGAAAAATTTTCTGCCTCCAACCAAAAATGCAGAGAAGCTAAAGACTGAGTCAAACTTTTATTTACATCTGGAGTAGAGATCAAATCCACTCATCTTAAAAATTTACTCTAGAATGCAGAAATCTAGACAAACTGTAGCAGTAGTTAAAGAATTTGCTCTGCAGGTTGGTTTAAGCTTAATTTATACTTCTCTGGAGACACGCATCGCAGAGAAGAGTCACGTAAGTCCTTTGAGTCTCCTTCTCCATTAACTGTGTATGGCGGACTGCCCCGTTGACTGACTTCCATCAATATGGATACGTCACATTGATTGCACGCAGAGACAGTCCGAAAGACAAGTGTAGATTCTGCCTTATGATGGAGCCCTTTCCAGGTGCTAGAATTGAGCCACACCAGAGCAGAGATTCAGTTGACAGAATTTGGAGTCTTATTTCCTGATATTTGGACATCTCGTCTCTGATTGGCTAACAGCAATGCAACACTACCACTGAATGTTTTCTTTGCAATGTTGACGTTTTATCTCAAAAAAGAACACAAGCCTAAAGGAGTTCTGCTGTGTGGTGGAGTTGCTAATGCTAACTGTTAGCTTCTACTAGCCGAGATATTCTATGCCATTTTCTGGACGCTACACCAACAACAGCCTTCCCCGTCTCGAGTAAAGATGGGTGAAACCATGAATGTTCAGTGGCAGCATGATGTAGCTCCTAATCCTAGAGTTTCATCATCTGAGCTAAAGCAGGAGATGGGTGCAGAAGACTAGTTTCATATTCAGCCTGCATGAAAAACTCAACGAGTGAATGATTATAATCAGATCAATTAAATCTAAAACTCAAATTCAGTGCTGTCATCAAATATACTGATGATGTTCCTAAAGAAATTAGGTGGAGGCTATTTAACCAAAACAAATTCAACAAGGGAATACATTTTAAAAAAAAAGTGACTCTCAACATGAACTCCAGATTAAAACTTTATTTCTGTTTGTTTTTAAATTTACTTAGGAGGGGCGGATGTTCGCTCTGAAAACATTTTCAGCCTGACTGAGCTGCAGCTAAAAGATCCATTTTATTCAGTCCAAAAACCTGCCACTCAAGAGATCTCCAGTGAATAGATCATCAATATCAGCATAAATAAAAAAATCTTGAAATGTTGGGATTTTTGTGTGCGGGTTCTTTTGCAGCCATTTATTTTTTCCTTTAGAGTTTCAGCAGAAACACACTGACAAGACCTCTTTAGATCTCTGAGCTGGATGCCTTTCATTACTAGAATTGCAGAACCTGATGGAAGCAGCTCATGTGTTTCTGTTAATGCACAGTCTCCAAATACGAGTAGGACAGCATTGGGAAGCATTTTAGCACTCCACCGTTCAAGGTTTCATTTTGTGCACATGACTGTCACAAACGAGTCTGGTTTTCTACAGCACAAGAGCAGCAGGCAAACAAAACAAAGAGGCGACAATGTGTGCTGACGTCAATGATCACAAAGCTGGGAAATAAGGCAAAAAATAAATAAAAATACCATTGTACTCTAAATCACATTAAGAGAAAATTTTTGTCAGTTAGCATATAATGTCACATGCAAAATATGTAGTCATTTTTTTCAAAATGGGACTGATTAGAGCAGACGTGTCTAAAGTGAGGCCCATGGGCCAATTGTGGCCCCTTGAAAGGACTTTGTGCAGCCCCCAATTGCATTTGCAGAATGACAAAATTGGTCTCTCCGACATTTTTATGTAGAATTTTTTTACTTATACTTATTTTGAGAAAAATAATCACAATAATATATAATGCATTTTTTAAAAGAAAAAATAACATTTTTTAAACCCTGAGGATTAGTGACATCACTGTTTTGGCCCTCATCTTGAAAAGTTCCCCACCCCTGGATTAGAGGCTAAATACAAGCAATACTTGAAAGAAAAAATCTTATTTTAATCTCTAAGAGGAAACTATAGTATGTTACATCTATTTTTGTGCCACTTAAATAAATAAAAAAAACATCAAGCAAACAAGTCTTGATTACATGAAAAAATAACTTAAAATGAAAATTAAATTAAAAGCTGTAAGATTATGATATTAAACAACTGAAAAAGTCTTTAAGAACAAAAATAACTGCTTGATTTAAATAACTTCAAACATAATTGTTCTACTCCAAAAGAAAAAGATATGACATTACCTCACACTGGTATTAATCCTCAATATGTGTCTGAAACATCTCCTCTCTGCTCATATAGTTTATCCGATTACCATCAGAATGCATTTATATAACTTCTGACAGAGCAACAAGTAAGCTTACTGAACAGCTTTAATGTCCAGTTTGTTGCAAAGATGCCTGACTGTACTACAAGTACAGCTGCATGGTGGCGCAGTGGTTAGCACTGTTGCCTCGCAGCACGAAGGTCGCAGGTTCAAAACTCGCCTTTCTGCGTGGAGTTGCGTGTTCTCCCCATGCATGCGTGGGTTTCCTCCGGGTACTCCGGTTTCCCCCACAGATCACAACATGCCCTATAGGTTATAAAAATTGTACGTCGCTTTGGATAAAAGCGTCTGCGAAATGAATAAACATAAACATACAAGTATCAATCTGACACACTACTGAGTGATTACATGAGGAGAGGAAGGAAGTAGAGGGTGATGTAGTAAAAAATGAAGGGGAAACACACTTTCAGCTGCACTGCAGTCCAGGGTGTGGGCGTGTGGAGAGTGGGAGTTAAACAAACACTGTATCTCATGTAAGTTTGTCTGCGATTTAGTGTGTGTGTGTGTGCGTGTGTGTGTGTGTGTGCGTGTTAGAGCCAAGCTTCATCATTTGGTGCACTCATTTTCACAGAAATGCCTGATCCTGTAAGTTAACGTTGTTAAGCAAAAAAAGAAACAGAAAAAAAAGAACTTCTCAGGCTTTTCTAGATTTCACACAGCAAAAGAGAATGGGGGGGGGGGGGTGTCACATTGGTGTTTATAAGCATGCCAAACATGAATCAATCAATGCACAACACCACAAGCTGCTTTTTCTCACCCAACTCAAATTTACCCCAAACATTTCACAGTAGACACTGCACTCAGTAACTTGAAGTATCTTTTTTTAAATACATGACCAAAAACTACAATGCACTGACTGAATAGTACAGCTGTGGTTTCATTTCTACCACAAGAATGGTTGCAAAAAAAAAAAAAAACACAGTATTGTGTTCAAATGAAAACTGTATTTTACTGTATATATTTAGGGATGGGATGTTCCTGATCTCATTAGGAATAACAGCTCTCCATCTAGCCTCTCGCAGCGTGACATGATGCAGTTTATCGATGTCATCTTAAAATATGCTTACAAGCTAAAAGCCAGCTGACCTGGGTGGATAATATTTTGCAGGATATACGATGACCTCAAACAGGAAACTGCTCAATCACCCCACAGCTGCACAGAACAACCCCAGTCCCAAACACACCCATATAGGAAAAGAACCATTTTTTCCCAATCCAAACGCCTAAATGAAAAAAATAAAGGGAAAAATATGTAAACAAAAAATGCCACTGGGCCTGCTCTGGTAGCAAGCTAACAACACTTAGCTAAACATATTGGGGTGAATGTACGAGACCTCACTTGTTTTTGGTACGTTAAGAAGATTGAAAACATGTAAAAACATTTAAATGTTTATCTGAGAATATCGTTAAGGGTGTGAGAAGGTGCAGAGCAGTATCCTTTCAGACTCGCCCGCGCGCTCACTAAACTGGCAACACACCAGCAAAACAGACTGCTGAACTAGAACGACAACGGCACAAACACATACGTAAACACATGGACCGTATTGCACCTGAAGCAACCGCTATAAGCAAAGTTTATCGAATATTTTGGAGCTTACCCTCTCTTTAACGTTGCGGTGAAATGAAAACTAAGCTATACAACGAGTGAAAGAGATATTTCTCTGTTTTTATCCCCTCCTGTGGTGGGTTTATCTCTCTGCACTCACCCTGGCTCCGCCCATCCATCTTTATTCTACTTGGGTGCGGCAGGAGCTAAACTCTGGTTTACGATTGGTCACTCATAAACACATTACAAAAACAGTGGTTGTGATTGGGTAATGAACTTTAAGCCCGCCTATTAAAGGGAACGTGTTTTTGGGTCCTACTCCAAAATGCACAGAGAAATTGTGAATTAAAATTGAAACAAAGAAACGTTTTAAATTTTCTGGGATCATTACATTTTCAAATAGTCCAATGATTAATACAATATCTCTTGCAAAAATTCCGAAGTTTGTTTGCAAACGTAGAAAATAATTAACGACTTCAAAGGAAAATGCTTAAGTAAAAATTATTCAGCAGGGAAATATATAAAAATTATGTTTTAGTCATATTGAAAGAATGTACACCTGTATCTTTAGAGATTCAATATGAATATGGGGGATATTTTTAACACATTTCACGAACTACTCAGTATCTACCACTAGATGGTAATGTTTTTCCACTTTACTGTTATTATTATTTTATCTCTCCAGATGAAGAACCAGTGAGATGTCAAATTCATTTGCAAGAGTGACCTTATCCAGGAAGGCAGCATTAAACAATACAGAGAATTAAACAAAATCACATGTTATGACAAAGCACAGAGAAAAACAAGCAAAAGCACCGTTACAAAATCAGGTTTGGGAGCATTCGATATGTGTGAGGCTTGGACGCAGGGGCGTAACACTGCTTCTTATATTCACAAATTACAAAAATAAAATAAAATTATTCTTCTGAACATTAATCATGACCGTTATAACAAAAGTGTGGAAGAAATAGGTCAAGCCAAATGTTCCAACCACAGGGAATTGGTGATGTGCGCTCTTTATTATAGAAAACTTGCTTTCATTTTCAAGAAAAATGTGAGGAACTTTACAAGTAATGTGCATGATATAAAGACTTGACTTTTGTTTTTAAGAGTGCCTTTTCTCTATTCTTTGAACATTTGAAGCTAATTTTTAATTTGTATTTTTCTCCACACAATGCCTGATATGTTCTGTTTGGTTGGCACATGTAGAATTACGAAAACTGAACCACAACTAAGGTATGGGGACTCTTGTCTTAATAGTTCGGTGGGATCATGAATGAATGAATGAATGAGTGAATGACAAACATTAAATTGAAACATCAAATAAAGATTTTCATAGAATTAAATAAGTACATAGCAAAACACAAAATATTGTAAAATAATTGTTCAAAATAAAGTAGGGGAAAGGTTAAATCATTAAAAAATTTGCAGTGGAGCTAGCTTCTGTAACACTTGTGGCTAAAATATCTGACAAGTCCAACTGAGGAACCATGAAATGTAACATTTGTGAATACTGTAAATTTTATAAAATAGCACATTAAAGACTTTAAAATTTTTGAGACTGGAAATGTTTATGACAAGTGACTTGCTAAACTATGACTACTTATTTTCTTGTCTGTTTACCTTGTTTCTCCAAACTGAGGCTGTTCAAACGGCTATCAACAATAGGTAAGACATCAACGGTTCATATTACTAACTGTTGATTAAGGTTGAATATAAATATGATTGTATTGCCTGCACCCTCTTCAAGAGTGATCCAAATGCCTTGACCTCTGACTCTTGTAGTGTTAATCCTGTTCCATACCAGTCGACACACTCATGCACGCACATCCTGACTGATCCCAGAACAGCGCTGACCATTTTGATATTGTGAATAATTGTGGTCTGCTTCGTAGCATGGAAACACCCGCTAGGGAGTCTAAATATAACCAGCTGAGGTGTCTGAAGATCCTGGGCATGAAGATGATATACTGAAAATACGCGCCTCACTGTGGAACTTTCCAGATCTATTGTGTGACGTTGCTGAGACTTGTTTCTGTTCTTTTCCATCTGTGTTCTCATTGGAAGCTAAGGCTAAAGTGCAATTAATCACCTGTGAACTTTATTTACATTTCAGTACTAATGTCTGGGTCACTTGTTTTCTCATAGACGTCCTTGAGAGAGTAACGAAAAAATCCACCTTTCGTGTTTCAGGTAGCACTGATCACCTTCTGTAGCTCGTTTAAAACTCCTAACAATCTTCCAGGAATGATAATGAAATAGTGTATGAAGTAATATGTTGTATTGCATCATATCGCATCATATTGCACTATATCGTATCATATTGCATTATATCATATCATATTGCATCATATTGTATTGTATCAAATTGTGTCATATCATATCGTTTTGTATCGTATCTTACTGCATTGTATTGCATCGTATTGTATCACATCATATTGCATCACATTGGATCATATCGTATTGGGTCATATCGTATCTTATTGTATCGTATCTTATTGTATCGTATCGTAACATAACGCATCGTATCGTATTGCATTGTATCATATTGTATCGTATCGCATCGCATTGTATCATATTGTATCGTATCGCATCGCATTGTATTGTATCGTATCGACATGATGTAGTTCTTGTCACCTTCGTTAATGAACAGTAAAATATTACTGCAGGTTAATTGAGCAGGTAATTTTCCAACATTTGCTATTCAATGAACCCACAAAGCAGCCACAGAAGAAGACACTGTTGCATCTCCTACCAGCAGTTACTTCACTTCTACTCAATGATGGTATTGTTCTGGACGGACACACACACACACACACACACACACACACACACACACCCTCCTCCTCAGCCTCTTACAGACAAGGGTTAGCCTTTCTTTCCTCCAACCTGTTTTTTACTCACTCTATTATGAACATGTTGTATAACCTTTGACCCCAGAAAGTTAACCACACTGTTGTCAGCACACATGCAGTCCCCTATATATTTAAAATTCAGCAGATTTGTAGCTTTAGCTTCTAACATCTTCAAAAAACTGACATAGAGATATTTTTAAAATGAGACTTCTTCAATCAGCAAATGCAGAAAGTGAAGGAATTGTTGCAAAAGCAGTGAAAATGAACTAACATTAATTTTTTTTTCAGAAAAATGTGGAAACTGTTATTTTTCAACTCTTTCATTACCATCAAATTAAATATTTAAATGTCATTCAGTACTGGGGGAACGTGCAGATGTATGTAGAATTTGAACGCAGCTGCAGGCAGTTTATCTGCTTGGGCTGCATGGTGGAGCAGTTGGTTGCACTGAGGCAATGCAGCAAAAAGGTTGCCGGTTCAAATCCCAGCTGCAGCCTTTCTACAGTGCGTTATGTTCTCCCTATGCGTGGGTGTGGGTTTTATTCAGGTGCTCTGGATTCCTCCCACAGACCAAGATCAGGCATATCAGGCTAACTGAGGACCTAAAATTGTCCCAAGGAGTGAGTAACTAGCTGTTGTTCTTGTCTGTGTGGCCCTTTGATCTCCCAATCACCCCCAATAAATAGGCACAAGCTCCCAAAAACCCTGGAGGAATAAGCAGATTAGGTAATGAGTGAGTGAGTTGTTTTGGCAACATAACATTTAATGTGTGAAATAATGTATTAACTCATTGTAATAATTCTAGCAATTGTGCAAATGTCCGTGCAGCGCAGACATGGTGTTATTCCTTTTCCAAAAGAAGTATAGACCAGTCAAGGATGCAGACTTTGCTGTTACTGAAACTATGTAAGTTCAACGGTGGCAGAGGAGTTAAGTGCCTGCCCTGTAATTGGAGGGTTGTAAGTTTGAGCCCCAGCTGCTGCAGTCGTTGTGTCCTTGGGCAAGACATTAATCCGCCTTTCCTGCTGGTGGTGGTCAGAGGTACCGGAGGCGCAAGTGTATGGCCTCTGTCAGTGTGCTCCAGGGTGGCTGTAGTTCATCACCACCAGTGTGTCGATGTGTGTGTGCATGGGTGGGTTGTAGAACCCTAGAAGGCAGTGTATCAAATAATGGTCATTTACCATTCTGCAAATTGTTTAGAGCTGTGACGACCCTGCCTGAAATGGAAGACATTGTTTTTAGTCTTCTACATCAGTGATGCCCACAGATGAGTCACTCATGTTTCTGACGCTGATCCCAACACACTATTGCATGACAACAGCCGGAACACTGACTCTGATTTATGAAATGTTAAACCTGCAGTCCCGTTTTCTCACAGCAGTCTTACACATGTAAACTGAAATGTGAACTAAGCAGCCTTTCTGCACAAAGACGATACTTGCTTAGTCTTTGCATGAAAGAGTTTTAGTTTACATTCCTGATGCAAAGGAAGACAGTGTTGAAATGTCAAGATACTCCTAAGTACCCAAAAGCATCTCAGCACTGAACTTATGTTCACCTCACTGTAAGGTGCCATGGTTACGTGACAGCTTCTGATCTTTAAACAAAATTATACACCAGGGACACCATTAGACCTAAAAGCTTTGTGATTTCAGATTTTATTGACCAGTGATTTTGACAAAGCTTTACAAAAAGGTTTGAGCTTTTATCTATCTCTGTATTTGAAGAGATTAAATAGTTACTGAACGTCTCTCGTGTCTTTCTCTTCTTTTTATCTTTTTCTCCTTGCCATTATTTTGAGTGTTTTTTTAAGTACTATTGGATTGTGAAATTTATTGCATTGCTATTTCCAGGATTTGCCAAAAACAGCTATAACTCCACAACTTCTCAACATAAGGCAATTATATGGTGATCATATAAAACTCACGAAGATGGTGGACAATATAAATTCTCTAAGTCTAAGCCTTTAAAAAGAGTGTCAATTGTTAGATCATTGTTATCATCATTAATGCATATTTATTGTAGCTTATACTGACACCTAGTGTGTGATTTTTGATGCTCATCTTTGACAAATATATTTCTAAAATGCAGGAGACGTGCAGGAAAAAAACTGGCCAAATTTAAGAGTTGGTCAAAATTCAACATAATCACAGATCAGATTTTCTTTTGCTATTGCTACGTGAAAATTCTTTTGAGTAACAACTGATTACAAGCTCATCTAAAACAAAGGCATTTTGTGAATTGTAGTTCAGTGTGATTAACTAGAATCGGCCAAAATCCGTATCAGCAGTTTAGTGGTGTATAAAAATTATAAATGGGTTTTGGCCATCAAAACCAGATTTGGTGGGGTAGGG